TCCGCTCAGGGCCGGACACAGCTCGGCAACAAAATCGGAGGGAGAATAAAACCCTTCACAAACCAAAGCCAGGAGCAGGTAATAGGACCTTGGGCATCTGTCTCTGGCTATCGACAAAGTGTCAGCAGCGTCTGGGGGAGGGAGGAGCTCTCCGGGTTTCTCGCTCACTCCCTCCCTCCCACCCAGAGTTTCCTCCCCACCTTGCTGCAGTGGGAGTAGAAACCTTTGCAGGACTCCAGAAGCAGTTGCTGCACATTAACTTAATTTAACTCTATGACCAAGAGCAAGGTTTTGCTCAAACTCAAGCTAATTGCAGCCTGGAGGAATGCCAGGGGAGCTCAGCCATGCAGCTCTGGGGCTGCCCAGCATGGAGGCGAGGACAGGCCGAGGAACACGGCGCTCTGCTGGCACACACTTGGCTGTCCTTGACACGAAGATGCTGCTGCCTCCTGGGACCCCAGTTCTGTCTGCCAGGAGCTGCAGGGGAAGGAGCAGGGACGGGCACAGGCGGTGCTTGCCCTGGGTTTTGTGCTCATCCCAAAGCTGCCAGCTGTGGGCAGCAGCTGGCTGAGGGCAGCAGGGGCATTGGGCTTGTTCTTGGGGATGTTTGGGTGAGCCCGTGGCTATTTTGGGAGTGATGCCCAAAATTTGGGACTGGGCAAGCTCAGCTGGGGAAGCCCCTGCTCCCACAGGTCACCCCAGGTCCTGCCTGTTCCCCTTTGGTGCAGGTCCCACCCTGCTCCTCAGGGAGAGATGTTCACCAGCCACCACACAAAATCTGAGACCCTCAGCATGAGACTCTTCCACAGACCAAAGCTTTTCTCCAATTTAAAGTCAGCTTTGGTGGAGAAGTCAGCTGGAATGTCTCCCACAACAGAGCCAGAAGAAGGAATGTCCAACCAGGGCAAAGCAGCTCAGGGGCAGTGGGGATATGCTTTGTGCTGGCACCCCTGGTTCCAGCTGAGCTGCAGCCACAGGGAAGTGCACTGAGCTGCATTCATTCATCTTTAGCAGCAATGCAGCATCAATCATCTCCACATCTCAAAACTCACCACAAATGCAGAAAATACACCTCCTGCATGTGGGTACCACTGTCCATTTCCAGCTCCTTTTGTTGCAGGAGGTGCTTTTGGGGGTGGCCTTGGTCCTCCAGGTGTGGAGTGCCTGATCCTGGCTGCTGGCACCAGGATAACAGGCTGGCCAAAGCTGTTCTGCTCCACTAGCACAAACTCTCCAAGTCATGTGGAGAGAAAATCCTCCTGGAGAGCAGCCATGCATGAGCCTGCACTGAGAATGCACCAGGGAAAGAAGCAGGGGAGTGCAAAGGGGTTTTGCCTTCAATTTTTTGGTGTAAGGAAAGCCTGAGAAGAGCAATTGGTGAAGTGAGGAAAGGAAATGCCACTTCAAAACCAGAAACCTCATCTTGCTGGCACCTCTTTGTGGAGCTCTGTTCCATGGAGCTTCTTAGTGGTGAGGGATGCTCCCTCCTCCTGCCTTCCTCCAGGGACTGCTCATCACCAGCAGGATGGACAGACAGACAAGCAATGCATGCACTGGGACAGGGCAGGACAGAGCAGAAAAATCCTAATAACCAGCCTAAAATTGATTCACTTCTGCTCAATCTGATTTCTCCTAACTGGATCCACATGTCCTGGCCATGGCACATTAACTTCAATTACAGCTTATTAATGTCTCCGTGATGGAGCGTGCCCTGCTGAGCACGGCAGTGACTGACGTGCTGAGGGGAGGAAATGACTCCAGAGAGACCCAGTGTGCAATGGGAGCAGAACCAGTGGCTCTCACCACAGCCCTGTGAGCCAGGGAAAAGCTCATTCACCCGTGCCCGAGCTCACTGCTGCACCGAGGAGAAAATTAAGCAGTGAATAGAGAGATCTGTGGGGAAAAGTCCTTCCACTTCCCTTCCCCACCCTGCCTGGCACACACACAACACACAGACCAAGGGCTTGCTTGTGTCTATTCCTGTCCTGACCCTTCTGCATCTCCAGTTACTCTGCAGATCAATAGGGACAGGATGGAAGAAGAAAGGAGGGGGAGAAAATAAGAAAAGAAAAGAATACCAAGAAGAAAGAGAGTAAAAATAAACTGTCAGTCATGAACAGAGAGATGGACCTGGCTGAGGCTGTGGGAGGAGGAGATGCAGAGGAGACCCTGAGGGAGCAGCCTGCTGTCCCAACACCCACGAATGAAGCAGTGACCCCCAGGATTCACCAGATCCTCTGGCCTCCAGGACAAGGGAAGGCAGAAAACTCTTTCCCCTTGTCCCCATGTCCTTTATTCTCTTTCTTCTTTTCCCAAAAAGCTCAGGGGTTTTCCTTGGTGTGAAGCTGAGGCATGAAGGATGGGGTCCAGGGGTAGGTGGACTGAGGGGATCACAGAAAGCTCTCTGAACCCACCAGGTAAGGCTGCAGCAGCAGAAACCACCTGGGCTCACGGTCTGCTCTGAGGGCAAAGTGTTTTGCTCTTCCCTTGGCCATGAACTCCAGCTGGAATTGAGCTGCCAAGTGCCTCATCACCCTGAGGGCACCGCCAAAATCCGGCTGTGGTGCAGGGACACAGGCAATGCCCAAAGCTATGGCCAGGCACAGCTCCTTCAGCCTCAGCGCTGCTCACTCTGCTCTCCAGGCGGAATTTTCTGGCTGCGTTTTGCCCTGACCCCTCATTTCTCCACAATCACCGCTCCTCTTGTTTCCATGCCCCCTGTAGTGGATCCCTAACACCACCTCAGTTTTATCTAAGCACTTTCCTGCAGTTCCTCCAACACGTCCTGGAAGAGGCAGTGTGTGTCCATCCCCATCCCTGCCCACCCTTCCTCCCCCCTTCCCTGCACAGTGCTCCTGTCAGGCTCACATTGATTTCTCCTCTCTTCCTCTCAATAACCCATCCCTTGTTGAGCCATACACTAGATTTAATTTGGTTTTAGTCCCTGCACTGTAACTGGCTTTGCTTACAGCTGGAATTAGATTGCTTTTCAGTGCAAAAACCTGCTTGCTGGGACTGGAATAATCACAGGAGCAGAGTTAATTCACAGGGAGCTTCTCCATCTTATACACATCTTATCCACAGCTCCTCAGCTGCTCACCTTCCCTGCCCTGTACCCATGGGGGCTGAAAAAGTCAGCACAGGACAGGCACTGACCTCTTCCCTGTCCGGGATGAGTGTCCCTCTCTCCTGGGAACCAGCCCAGCAAGCTGGAACAGCACAAAGCTGCATCTTCTGTAGCTCAGAACTCGGGAGTTCGGGCTGATAAAAGCAGATTTCAGACTTTTCCCTATTCCCAGCCAAGGAAAAGCCCTCTCCTGCCGGCAGCCCTGCAGGATGCGCTCGGGGTGCGCTCAGGGGGATGCGCTCGGGCGGTTTTTGGGGAGTGGAGCAGCGGGCAGGGAGCGGCCAACAAACCCCAACCTGTCTCCTCTGGCCCCGGCTCAAAAGCAGCATTGCAGCTCCCACGGGGCGTTCGCAGCCCGGCCATCCCCGCCTCCAGCGGGATTTTGGATGTCTCGCAGAGGCTGTGACTCCTCCAGCCCTGGGTGTGTATTTGAAAGGGTTTTTTTTTTCCCCTTCCCTAGCTGACTCTAGAATTTTTAGGGATTTTCTGTCTTGAACCAACCTCTGTTAGTATTAAATGGTATTAAATTTGGCCAGTGAATTTAAAAGCTGATGGGAGGCTGGCGAGGGGGGAGGAGGACAGCTGAGAGCAAAGTGCTGGTTTGGGGAGAATCCCACCAGCAGGACCTCAGGTCCAAAGTACTGAAGCAACAAACCCTGCCCAAGGCAGGCAGGAAGGGTAAATGGCTCAGAGGAGGAAGGTGTTCACAGGACACCAAGGGTATTTTAACTCTTTGAAGCATCAAGCATCCCCAGGCTGGTGTGGGAGCAGTAACAAGTCCTTGGTATCTGTGCTGATCCTAGAAGCCAAAGCTCATTGCACAAGCACTGACATCAAACATTTAGTCCTAATTTACCAGACACACGTGGAGGTGCTCTCCTACTTCTCTGCCCACATGCCTGAGCCCCCAGGACTCCTCCCTGAGCAATCCCCACGGTGGACACCCCAAAACACCCCCAAACCAGTTGAATGCTACAGCTGCTCGTCCCAGACAGGCACCACACCATGAGAAAGACCCTCACTGCTGTCTCCTGCCTGCCCTGGCGGGTGGAAAGGGCTCTCCCATCCCTCCCTGCAGCTTCCTTCCCCTTGGAGCCTGTTCAAAGCCAGCCTCGGTGGCACCTGCAAACATTTCTACTTGCAAGGCTCAGAAGCAAACTGTTTGGAACCGATACAAACGGCGCCTCTGTCGCTGTGGTGAAGCTTGTTAGCACGGGGTGGGTGATGGGGAGATTTTTCCCCTCTCGCCTGTAAGTCTCGCACAAGCTGGATGGGAAATCAGCCATCTCGGCACTTTTCCACCTTACTTTGCTTTTTCAGTTGATGTCATAATGTAACATATGGCATTGTATAGAGAGCTGAAAAACAAAACCCAGGAGAAACAAACGCCCTCCTGCTTCCTCTGCCCCAGATGTGTCAGGGGGTTTTACCTTTAGCCCAAGATTAATCTGCCAGGGCTGAGGCTGCTCAGGGTGTGCGGGACTGGCTGGGGATGACCTACCCTGCTTGTGCTGGCAGGGAGCTGGAGTTTAGTGGGGCGAGCCTCATTCCATGCCCCATATCCACCAGCATCACCCCTGAGACACTGGGCAAAGGCTGGCTGTGTTTGCACAGCTGGGACAGGGGATTGGAGGGAACTCAGACCCTGAGTGCCCATCCAAGCCATGTCCCAGCTCCCCCAGCACCAGCTGCGGGAGGACACAGCCTTGGAGGTGCCCCAGCCATTCCCTGCAAGGTCACAGCTGCTGCTCTGCCTGGGGAGAAGAGGTGCTACAGGGAGAAATGGTTATCTCTCGGTTGGCAGAGACGCTGACGGCTCAGTTCTCCAGCAAGAAAAGAGAAGAGACGCCCAGAGAAACCCAGCAGCCGTTACCTGCCGGTGACTTCGATGTTGGAGACAGCGTAGAAGTACTTGTACAAGTTCTCCCTCTGCACGTAGGTGCCCCCCAGGGCGGGTCTCAGCAGCCTCATGCGCAGGTCGGTGACGGTGAAGAAGTCCTTGAGCCCTTTGGCGCTCTCCAGCCGGGTGTACAAGTTGTCCATGTTCTTGAGGTCGGGGCCAGCGAAGATGGCGAAGCGGTCCCGCACCTCAAACCGCACGGTCTTCTCCTTTTTGGAGCCCGCCCAGCGGGAATACTCCTCGGTGCAGAGGACCCTGTTGGCACTGGTGGTGGAGAGGTCTCGGACCCTCCGTGCTGGCATGCTGAAGGCCTCCATGCAGTCGTCTGCGTAATACTGGTACGGGTGCCAAGTCCTGCCGTTGTCCAGAGACTTCTCCAGCATCATGATGGTGGGGCGCCCGTACTCGAAGGTGATGACGATGTCATCGGTCAGCTCGATGCTCTTGTTCCAGGACAGGGTGATGTTGGCCAGCAGCGGCTCAGGGTAGCGGCGCCACGTCACGCTCTGCCAGTACGTGGCCAGCCCCTCGTCCTCGCTGTCGAACATCAGCTTGGGCGGGTGCGCCAGGTCGGGGTTGGAGGCGTCGCACTCGTCGCTGCACAGGTACGGGTTCTCCTGGAACAACAACAGCGGTCACCAGAGGGGAAACAAAGCCTGGGCACGGCGTGGGCACACGGGTTTGGCTGCTTGGGTCAAGCCTTAAGTGCTGGGCTGAGCTGGAGGGTGCCAGGGGCCTGGCTGTGGAGGATTTAAGGCAGAAAGATGCGGCTTTGCCTCAGCTGTAAGAACGGCTGAGCTCTTTTCTTTGAAAGGCCCTTTGGGAAAGGGCTTTTCAATTTGGCACGGGGCGATTTTCATAGAAAGCTCCTTCCCTGAGATGGTCTCTGAGAAACTTGGGTTAAGCTTGGCTGGTTTACAAGCCTACAGTAGAAAGCTGTGCTCATCCCTTGGAGGAACCGAAAGGCTGCAACCCTCCAAGCATACCCCTGCCTCCTGATTCAGAAAACACTGGGACACACCATCCCCCCAGTGCCTCTGAGCACAGCTAGAGGAGGGAAACCCAATTTCTCCAGCTCCAAGCTGGGACAGAACTGGGCAGTAGCAGAGAGAGCAGAGATCTGTGCTCCTGCCCAGCGGGAATGGGGTGGGAAGGGTGGCTCATCCCATCCAGGTGGCAAAGTCCACTGCCTCCAGGCCTGAGCAGTGGGAGAGAGCATCCAGCCATCCCATTCTGCCCACAAGTGCCAGTGCACAGCCAGGCTGGTGTGTTTTTCAGGGACAGAAGATCTCTTTTACCTCCACACCCACAGGTTCTGAGCTGCACTAGGACAGTGTCAAGGTGACACACCACATGTTGAAGTTCTGGGGGTGGGCAGCTGTGCCAATGCATTTATTGCTCACCCATGTGTTTGTTGAAGCTCAGCATCACTGCCCTGCAGGAGTGAGCATGTGGGTCACCCCTGCCTTGGGGATTGTGTAGGGCTGTGTTCTGCTGGGTACAGACCACAAAAAACTCTGCAACACACTGCACATCCCTTTTTTTTTTGCATATGAAGCATCTCTTTGCTGTCACTTTGCCTCCCTCTCAGATACAAAATCCAAAGGATTGGGGAGGGAGAGGGACTGGTATGACAGCGGGCTCTGCTGCTGTGGGACCCTGCTCAGGAAGGCAGAGGCACCTGGCAGAGAAGGAGGAGGAGGAGGAGGTGATAAAGCATCTGGAGCTGCTGAGAGCTGCTGGCTGGAGGTGAGGAGCCTGCTGGGGTGTGAGGTCTGGCTCTCCTGAGCACAGCAGCTTTCAAGGTAAGGCCGAGCTGGGTGCTGTGCTTTGGTTTGTGGGTGCTCTGTGCGTGGCTGGGAGCCATAGGGAGGTGCTGTGTGTGGGGTCAGAGTGTTACTGCCTGGCCCTGGGGATTTCCTGCAGCACAGGGGCTGCGCCAGGGTGTGGGGAGCTGATGCTGATACCTGGAGGCTCCAAAAAATGAGCTGCAGGGCTGGATCTGGGTGTGTCTCTGGCTGCTGCAGGTATGGGAAGAGAATTCTCCTCTGTCCATGGCTGTCTTTGACCTAGGGAACTGTTGGAGTCTGAGTGCCTGTGAGCTGCTTTTAGGGTGCCCTGGGCACACCCAGGCACAACAGAGGAGGGGATCTGGCTGGTACAGGAGGGTGCTGTCAGCTGCAAGGTGGGGCTGTGCTTTTAGCATGGAAACCTCTGAGCAACACAACGTGCTTTGGAAAATCTGAGCTTTGCCACCTCCAGCCAGGCAACCAAAAGTCTTGGAAAGTACTTAGAGCTTCTCCACTCCATGTCTGTAAAATGGGCCTTTGGTGCCTCCTCAGAGCTCAGAGATATGCACTGAAGGCAAGCGACTGTTTGCAAAGTCAGTGGAGGCCACAACACCCAGGAACCCTGAAAAACTCCTGAGGACACAAATAATTCTGTGTCTGGAGCAGCATGTGAACAGCACAGTGCAAATAGAGCAGGAGGCTGCTCTGTCAGCACGGGGGAAAACAAAGCAGTGAGTGGCTGATCTGTAGGTGAGAGCCAGGCTCCTGTGCAGGGGAGGCAGCCCTGGGGACAGAGGGGACTCCTGTAAATACAGCACACGTTGTGTTTGTGTTGGCGTGCACGAGGAAAGCAGCACAGCATAAAACAGGTCAAAACTCAAACTGTTTTCAACCCAGTCTTGCTCTGACACACCCCTGCAAATGCCGTGCTGGGGTTTGTTCCTCTGTCACAGCCTCAGCCTGGGCCATGTGTAGCTTTTGTCACCTCTGTGCGTGATGGGGCTGGAGCTGCTGAGCCCACCCTGCAGCAGGGAGGTCACTCACAAAAGCATGCTCGAGTTGGTGTTCTAAAATCAAATAGCTGGATGGTTTATTTGTTTTTATTTTGTTTGTAGCTGTGATAACTGAAGAAGGGAAATCAGTGGAGCGCTCAGGCTTGCTTGGGTGGGTGAGGTTGAGGGGTGAGGGCACCCCACAACCCCCTCAAAGAGGGGGAGATGCCAGCTGGGCTGTGCTGGGGCTCTGAGCCACGCTGGGGGGCCCTCTCCTGCCACAACAAGCTGTTCTGGAGAAGGGATTAAAAAACCCTGAGATATCGACATATTTAATATGCTCTCCTGACTCGTCACGTTCAGAGGAATTGTTTACCTCTGCTAATGAGACACAGCTTCCTGCTGGGGGATGGAGCTGCCTCTCAGCACAGCTTTGCAGTGGTGGCTGAGGGAAAAGGCAGAGAAATCCCCCTCAGCTGAAGTGCTGGGGGCTCTGAGTGTGCTTCCTGTGCTGAGGCAACATATTGTGTTGCAGTATGGTCCTCCTGTCAATGTGGCCATACAGATGGCTTAATATGACAGTCCTGAAAAGACCATCCCAGAGGTCCATTCTTGCCACTTGTCTGAAGGAGGGTGCAGCAGGTGGAGAATTGGCTTGGGATGGCAGCAGGAAAGTCTCTGACAAGCCTGCCCTGCTGCTCAGTGGCTCTGTCTGAGCAGAGCCTGTGTCTCAGAGCTCTTGCCATGAGCCTTCCTTCCCCTGTATGCAGCAGGCACAGCCCTTGAGCTGGTGTGAGATCAATCTCACCGAGTATTTGCCACTTGAGCTGTCCCCAGCATGGCCACAGTGGCCACCTCCAGCGCTGTGGATGATGCTCCTATCAAATGCTTTCTTTGGAGTGGCCAAATTAAACAAACAAAGGGCTCAGTGATGAAACCACACGAAGGAAACATTACCCAGACAAAAGGCTGGGCAGGATGGGAGGCGGGACAGATTTCCCTGGAGCAGTAAGGGAAGTCTGATCAAGCATGATCCCCCTCCCCATGTTCTGTCTGGAGGAACAGGGCTGGCCAGGCTCATCCCTGGCAGGGTCAGGAGAGGTGAGAAGAGGAGTGAAACCCTTCCTGTCTGCCATATGCTCATCCCAGGGAATGGAGGTGCACAATCCTGCTGACTCCCGTGTATCACAACCTGGGAGCGTGCTCAGCTCAGCAGGCAGCACCCCCAAAGATCTCTTTAACCACCCTGATGCTCTGGTGGTGGGCAAATGGCTCAAGAGGTGCATGGTTGTAACAGGGCAAACACAAAAATAACCTCCAGGTGACAAGGTGGGGGAGAGCCTCAAAAGCCACCGAGTGAGTCACATCGCTACAGCTTCCTCTGCTAAAATGAAGTGTTACTTTTTGGGGTTAGGTTTATTGAATTGTCCTTCCTCTGTGGGATGCTGGATGCCTTTTCTGCTGGGGGGGTGGTTTGGAGTCAGCCAGGAGGGCAGGGGGGAGCGGAAACAGATGGCCACATTTTGGCTGCTCCCTTGGTCCTGGTAAGACCAGATATAGCACTGTTGAAACAATTCCAGGTATTATTTTTGAATCTGGTTTCCTCCTCCAAGCTGTGTGTCCTCCAAAGAATCTGTCCAAAGTCTCGAGATATTTAAGTCTTCAATCTAAAAGTCAGGATGCATTAGCCAGGCAAACTTGGTCTCAGTGAGCTTAAAATAAACCAGTTCACTTTGAGTCTCACGCTATTAAATCAGTCGTGAGTGTCCTCACAGCAACTAGACATTGCAGATTTCAGGCTCTCCAGCTCTTCTGGTTGCGCACTTTTTGGGGTTTTTGCAGCCTTGTTTAGCCCCAGCTCAGTCCAAAAGGTCAAATCTCCAGGGGACAAACTTGTGAGAGCCTCGTTGGGGACACGGTGTCCTAAAAAATGGCATTGTGGTAAGGCTGTGCCTCTGTGAGCCAAATCATGGAATGGTTTGGGTGGGAAGGGACCTTTAAAAGTCATCTACTCCAACCCCCTGCCATGGGCAAGGACATCTTGAGCTCAGTCAGGCTGCTCAGAGCCCCATCCAACCTGACCTTGAATGTTTCCACAGATGAGGCATCCATCACCTTTGAGGTTTTACCATGCTGGTATTTTATCACATTCTTTATAAAAGTTTTCTTCTCTACAGCTAACCTGAATCTGCTCCCTTTTAGTTTAAAGCCATCATCCCTTGTCCTAACAGTACAATTCATAATAAAGAGCCCTCCCCATCTTTCCTGTAGACCCTCTTCAGGTCCTGGAGCTCTGACTCCTCCATGGCAGGGCTGCTTTCAGTGCTTCATCCCCAGCCTGGAGCGATGCTGGGGCTGCCCTGATCCAGGTGCCCTCAGGAGGTTCCCATCAGCCCAGTCCTTGAGCTGCAAATGTGTCCCAGCCCTTGGGTTCTGCCTCCTCTTGCTGCCTGGAGTCAGTTCCGGGCAGAAATGCTGCAAAAGGGACTTTCTGAAGGTGACAGCAGAGACTTGCTCCTTGAGGAGGAGGATTTCTTAAGAAACAAGATATTGGTCTGACAAAGCAGGATGACAGGAACCCAGGATGCTGCAGGGAAGCTGCTCCCACCTTGTTGGGAAGGGGGGGAATGAATGGGGGAAACCAGACACAACAAAAGGCCTCAGGTGTACAAAGCCCAGATGTTTTTTAGGGCTCTTAATGAGCCCAAAGTTGCTTTATTTTTTGTTTCTAGCAGATAATACAATTTTTAAGCCTCATAGCATAAAATGATATATTTTTGTACGTGCAATTGCTCGATTAATCATTAGGCTGTTGAATATTTTAAACAAACTAGA